CTCAGAGATGCTCTGCCTGGTAGGGGCAGTTGCTGTGCCCACCCTGGCATCAGCCTCTGGCAGAGAAGCTGAACTGGAGCACACAGCCCTGACGCTGCCCAGCCTCACAGCAGCCTGCCCTGGCCAACCCACGGGCAGGGCAGTGGCCCCATGCTCGCAGGCAGAGCAGGCAACCGTGGGCAGGAGCTGGGGCCAGGCTCCCTGGTGCCTCCTCGCTCCCCCGGCTCCTTCTCTGGGAGGTCTGGTGCCAAGTGGGACATGCAAACGCTGGGCAGGAACAGCCAAGTCCTTTCAGTCCCGCTGGCAGCAGTGAGCTGACCTTTATGGAGCGAAGCGGGGCGGCTCCACTTGTGAATCGAGCTCTGGGCTGTTGCCTGCCCTCCCCAGGGAGGACCTGGGAGCCCGGCTGAATAGAGCCCTTCTCCTCGCTGCGTGGGGACGGTGGGTTTTGGATGTGCTGCATCGCAGGGTGGGGAGAGGGAGAGAAGGAGGAGGTGGGGCAGGAGCAGGTCCAAAGGGAGCTGATGCGCAGCCCGGTCCCCTGCCCCGAGTGGCACCCGCAGCAGCTCTCTCCTCCTACACAGATGCCGTTAGCAGCAAGCTCCAAGGCAGCAACATCTTCACCATTGCCAAGAGGAATGTGGAGGGCCAAGACATGCTCTACCAGTCCCTGAAACTCACCAATGGCATCTGGGTGCTGGCAGAGCTCAGGATCCAGCCCGGCAATCCCAGCTTCACGGTACGCCCCTTCTCCCCTGCCTGCCTCTGAAACAGCCCCTGGGGCATTCTGAGCTGAGGCTGCTGCCCACCCTGCTGCCCACCCCGCCTTCCCCACTCTCTGCTTGGAGCTTGGGTTGGGCTGGGTGGTCCTGCAGCACATCTGCAGTGGCAGGACCCCCCCCCCGGCTGCTGTCAGTGCCAGCTCCTTTCCCTGTGCCAGTCCTGGCGTCCCTCTCACACGGGGAGGGTGAGGTGCGGTCTGTGCTGGCTGGCTGGGCTCTGCAGCAGCACTTGGTCTCCACTGAGCTGCCCTCCTTGCACTGGGGAGGCACCGTGCTGGCAGCAAAAGGAAGGAGAGAGGTCCCAGCCCACCAGCACATCTCCATTCAAATAAAAACCCCAACCCCATCCCCTTCTTGGGCCATCCCTGCCTCTGCCTGCATGCTGGGCAGCCCAACTGCAGCTGCAAATGGCCTTGGAGCAGAGGTCTGTGCTCATGCTGGGCATGAGCTGTCCCCATGTCCCACTTTCCCCGGCTCCTGCCCCACCTTCATCGCAGCCTGTTTTCTTTGGGTTGGGACGAGCTGTGTCGCCTTGACTCACCTCTCTCTGTATCTCCGTACCTGCTGCCTGCCTGCCCTCGCCGGCCTGCCCGCTGTTGCAGGATTTGGAGGTTAGCAGACCGGTTTTTACCCCGGCTTTGGGCTGTCTTTGGCTGCTGCCTGGTTATTTCTCCCCTGATGTTTTTACCTGCCTGCTGGCTGCCCTGCCAGCCCTGTGTGTCTCTCAGTGCCTCTTGCCTCTCCCTCCCGGCAGGGCTGGCACGAGGCCGGTGCTGAGAGCGGAGCTTTGCTGGGAGGTGAATGTTTCAGAGGGTCAGGGCATTCCCTCCACCCTCCTGGATTCACTTGGGATGAGGATAGCTGCAAACCCTTATCCCGGAGGATTCCCCGCTCAGCACCCCTGTGCTGAGCGCTCCCTGCTCGCCTGCTGGCTGAGGAACTAATTAATTTCTGAGTCATTTAATATTAAATCTCTGAGCAAATAACTGAAGGGGGCTTGTACCGCTTAGGAGAGGAAGATGCCTTTGGGGGAACCATTCACCCTCGAGCTACAGGCAGTGAATCAAACCCCAAGAGACGAAGCGTGCGCTCCTCTGCCTGCCTCCCTGCCTGCACTGCATGTGGCTGGCTGCTCCTCGACTGGCCGGGGGGAGCACCAGCAGCCCGGGGAGGGCGTTTAGGGGGCTCGGTGCCTTTTAATATTTTGTATCCAGCTGAAATAAGGAGCTGGGGCCACCCCGAGCCCTGAGGGCAGAGCTTTGTGCTTTGGGGCTGGTGGCTTACTGGGCGTGGGGCAAGATGCTATCACACCCTCTCCTCCTCTCTCTCCACAGTTGTCCCTGAAATGCCGAGCGCCAGAGGTGTCCCAGTATGTCTACCAAGCCTACGAAACCATCCTGAAGAACTAAGGTGCTGCTGCAGCCTCTCCTCCTCCTCTCTTCCCTTTCCCGCCCAAGGAAGCGGGGCAGGACCCGTGTGCATGTCTCCTCTCCTTCCTGCCGGGGAACCAGCTCCTGGGAATCTCCCTCCAGCCCCGGGGCCCTGAAAAGGGAGCCAGTGCTCCCATCCCTGCAGGGCTGGGGTGGGTGGAGGAGGGCAGTGGGGGTCCCAGCCAGTCCCTGCATCCCTGTAGAAATCTGTGTGTGAGTAATGCGGTGTCCTCCTTGCTGATGTTGCCCCACGCAAGAGCCCTGTTTCACCCTCTGGGTCCCTGTGACTGCTTCTTTTTTTACTGACCTGCTGCCTGGAAGGGGGCTGTTCTCCTCCTCCCCTGCAAAAATCCACCTCCCTGCTGGCACTGGGTCTTGTGTCTACCCAGGGTGGTGTCTGAGGAAGGGTCCAGCGCTCCTCCTCACTGGGAATAGCACCCTGGGACTTGCTCTGAGCCTGTTTGGTGTCCGTCAGCACCCAAAGCGCCATGGGGTTGGGTAACTCTTGGCTCCCCCTGGAGCCCTGGCATCTCCCTTCCCCTGCAGCAGCTCCTGCCAGGCCCTGGTTTTGTCCCCTGGTGCAGGAGAGCCAGGGGTGAGCCCCTGGCCCTTTGGAGAGGGTCTCCCTGCACTGGGAGCCATTTCCAAAGGTCCCAGAGGGGCCTGAGGATCTCAAACTTGAGCCTGTACTTCAGAGGTGCAGTGAAAAAAAGGGCTTTTCCAGCCCCATCCAGCCCCCACAGCGGGGCCGGGAGGGCTCTGAGCATCAACTCACCCTGCCCTTGCCTCCCTCTGCCCTCCAAGCTGGGGCAGCCGCCCCCCTCCCCAGCCCCACAGCTCCCCACTGGGTGCTGGAGTGGGTGTGCCGCCTCCCCCTGCAGTGACAGTGCTCCTTGCCCCCCAAAATAAAGCCATGGGTCACCCCTAACTAGAAGCGTTTGGTGCAGGAAGTATCTAATATATAAAATATAAATATATTGTATGTTCACTCGTTTTAAGCGAACAGTGAATAAAGGTGACATCTGCCCAGGGAGATGCTGCTTCATGCCTGAGCTGCGGGCCGGTGATCCCTAGGGCAGCAGGATGTGGTGAGCTTCCTCTCGGCAGTGCCCTGCCCTCAGCAGGGAGGAGATCAGCCCTCTCCAGGGCTCCTGGCCATGGCCTCTGGCTCAGCAAGGCCTGAAGCAGCAAATTGCCCGGAGCTGGGCCTGCGGCCAGGGGAAACGGGGCCTCTCTGGGACAGGATGGCCCGGGAGGAGGTGGAGTGGCAGGGCCCCGGGCCGGCCCCCGCTCCCCCCCCT